ATAGCTGGAAATTATGAGAAATATGAAGTTTCATATTTGCTCATGCTTAATGAGAATAACGATAAGTTCAACGGTTAGAACTTATCGGTTTATGCTTGAATTCAAAGAGATGGAATTCAAGTGTTTTTATCTTCTCATAATATGGCATATAGAGAGGGAGAGTTATGTTTAACTCCGTCATCAATTGATTGTCATCATCAAAAAGGGGGAGATTATTGAATCTCATATTTTAATGATAAAATCAATTGATGGGTTAATTGATCTAATCCATATTATTGAAGTTAAGTGTGCAGGATTAACTACGATAGCCTGAAAACATAAAGCAAGGATACCGGAGTCAAGTTTGATGAATGTTTGAGAGTCCGAAGATTCGTCAGGAATGTTACTGGAACTAGCCGAGAATGAGTAGGGAGCTTGCCGAAGGGTTTTCGGAAGCTCGCCGGAAGGTACGTCAGAAGTTCGCGGAGCTCACCGAGAAAGATCGTAGCTTACCGAAGAAGCTCGTCGGAACTCGCCAAGATCAAATCGTGAAGTCTAGGAGCTTGCCGGGAGTCCGCAGAATGGTTTCCTTATGTTTATCGGAAGACCACCGGAAGTTCACCGGAAGCTCGCCGAAAGAAGTCTTGACTTGCGGACCTTGTAATAGCTTAGGAAATATCTTTAAATTTATAGTTAGTACGTTAATTAGGGTTAGGATTAGGTGTTAATCCTATAACCCAAGTAGGGATCAATTGGGCCCGAGTTCGGACTGGATTGGGCCAAGTTTGGAGCCCAACCAGTGAGCTGAAATAGTATAGGTGGTGGCACTACCAGATTAGGCGGTGGCACCACCTAGAACCCGAGAATTGAGCGGTGGCACCGCCCAGCACCCGAGAGGTCTGGCGGTGGCATCGCCAGTACACTATCAGTGTCAGACACTGACAGGCGATGGCACCGCCACCGACAGGCGGTGGAATCGCCAGCCTCGGAAACCCAAGAGAACTCAAAATTTAGAGCCCAAATTTGAATCCTCTTGGGGATTATAAATACTCCTCAACTCTCAGCTAAGATTATAACTTTTTTCAAAGCAATAGATTGAGATAAAGGTCTTAGAAAAGTCTTTTGCAAGTGTTGTCTTAAGTTGCTTGAGTGTTCACCTCCGTCTTTCTCTTCAAAAATTATAAGAGTGTGAACCACTTGTAAAAGGTTGTAAGAGGGGTATTTGTCCTTCCCCTTCAAAGAGATTTGCTAGTGAAAGTTGGGAGCCTCATTGAAGAAGGCTTCGCAAGTGGATGTAAGTCATTTGACCGAACCACTTTAAATTGGCGTGTTCATTGAATGTGTGAGTACTTACCTTTCTGCAATTGTTATCTACACAGCAGTAAGTTTCTGATTTTTAATTTACTCAAGTTACAATCAAAGCGAAATCTCCTTGCATTTTACGGAATCATTTTCGAACTTACAAGTTTTAATCTGCGGCACTAATTCACCCCCCACTCTTAGTGTCGCTTCGATCCTAACATATATCATGCATGATTTTATCATAACATGTTTGCTTGGATTTTGAATCCAAGAATTATATGGCATATTGATAGGGGGAGTTTATTTAAACCTCGGGAGTTAAGGTTAACTCCGTCAAAATTGGTTGTCTTCATCAAAAGGGGGAGATTGTTGAATCTTATATTTTGATGATGAAACCAATTGATAAGTGTTTATGTTTTAATCTGCGTTTTGAGTGATGCAGGATGCTTCGATCAGGATGAGACAATTAAAGTAGGAAGAATCATGTTGGGCCAAGGGAAAACATGTCAGAAGATTGGACGTCGAGTCGGAGGATCTGTTGACGTATCGACAAAAGGCTTCAAGCCATGGATTCGGGCATCGGGTTAAGAAAAGCGGATACTGTGCCAAGGATATCGGAGTTGTGGAGTCAACTGGCCGATTAGGGAGTAGTGCATTTATCGTAGTAGAGATAAAAACTTTGCAATAAAAAGTTTATGCAGCAATATGGGAATTTTTTTTTGGATTTTTGAATAAGGATAACTAAATTACAGCAATAGTAAGGTAGGAAACCAAAACCTGTTGCAAGTTACGAGGAGATCAAAGGATGATCCGCGGTGGTGGAGATGACGATGGAAGTCGACGATGATCTTTTAAGCAATTGTGGGAATTGCTTTCGGCGGCTGTGGAGGGTTAATGGATGGCTATGGAAGAGCAACGAGATGCCAAGAATGCTACTCTGATATCAAGTGTTAGAACCCTAGCTTATTCTAAGCTTGGGGTTGATCTCTTTAGGGGATCGGCCTCCTTAGAACTTTATAGGGGTTCTTTCCTCCAAGTTGCTGCTCAATGGTTGCTAAGAAGATTCATCTATTCCTTGTCAGAAGATAATGAATACATGACTATTTATAGGGCTTCTAAACCCTAACTCCTAATATGACTCTTACTCAAGACTCCTACTTCTAACCAACTTCTAATAAGACTCCTATTCTAAAAAGCAACCTCTCAACGAATCCTAACTTTAGTCGATCTCTTCACCTCTTTAATAGGAGTCGACTAAGTAGGTTTTACATAAATATCCCTTTTAATAAAATTCAATTAGGACTCTCTTAGCTAGATTCGTAACACAAGGACATCACAATATATATCTAGATATTATGTGATAAAATATCAATAACAATAAACAAAAAAAATCGTAAGGCTGGTACCTATAACTAACGGTTGTGCCAATGATATCCACAGCCAACGCATAGGGTTGATAGGACCGTAGAGAAGGTGATGAGCTTGGGATGATGTAGTGGATTAATGTCAGATCCCTTTCGATAATAGCCGCCTCATTTATTTATTATCATTTCATCATTAATCTCCATCATCAGCAATTTATTGTCATGATGTGTTGATTCAGTTGAAATATTTTATCATTGCTTAGTGCTAATAGGTGTTTAGAATGAATCATGTCCATCATATAATCTTTTAATTAGTCTAAATTATAATGCCAAAAACAAATCATTGAAACCCAACGAAACAAAGAACAGATAATCGGAACTTGTAAGCTAATAGAGGAGTAATGATCAATAAGCTAATCTCAGCCCTGATCTAAAAGCTTGAATCCAAGTTAAGGAGTGAGACCTGTTATTTTTTATGTGAAGGATGAGGAGTAGAGGGAACAGCCAAAATTTGTGCTTCACCAGATTCATTAAGTTCATACCAGTCACTAATGATCAAATACAACGACCTGTCTGCAAAATGATACTAGTAATCAAAGTTGAGAAACTGTTGTAGGTTGGTGGGGTGTTGGATCATCAACAGATCAAAAGAAAGAAATTCAAACATCAATTGTCCCCTTTTTTTTCCTATTTGGTTCAACACCATATCCTAGCATAGAACAATGAACCTGATGAGATGACAAGCTCAGAGACAATTTTTTTTAATTGTTGCATTAACAGAGTATAAAAAATTTTCACACCATCAAATATACATCAAGTCCAATCCGGTCTGAACAGGGCCAAAAATTTTCTCACTCATATAAATAATTTGACATGAAAAATGCCAGGAAAGAGTACAGAAATGCAGTTGCACATGAATCAGCATGAGAGTGACGGGCAACAGTAGAAGCCAGAAGCCTAGCCAGCCAAGAGCAGAAATCACCACCAAAACAACCTAGTTAACCCTAGAAAACAATGTGGCACCCACAGCCATGGAGGGCGAAACCCTCAATTTTTTGATTTTGAATGCTTCACAAACCAATCTATGACAGAGTCTATGTTGTTCGAGTTCTTGCATGAGATCATGAAACAACAGACTTCTCTGTCTGCAATAGATTTCAGGCCCCTGCAAGACAAGTACATGCTTAGATTCAGAGCAGCATACACATCACAAGAACTTCTTTTGGTTGTCCATGTGTAATAGGAAAATCTTAAAATTGAGAAATCTGTTGTTACTTACATCCGGTCTGTCAAATCCTGCTTTGTCAGAGCTTCTGGCTTATCGATTTTATTTCCAAGAACCAGCAATGGGATGCCACTCAATGATGGCTTGCTTAAAACATCATGAAGTTCACTTTTTGAGATGGGCAAGTTATCATGGTCTGCTGCATCAACCACAAAACTGCAGAAACAAAACAAAGTTATAATTGAAGACAGGCTCTTCTTACCATGCAACTAGACGTTGGAAAGCTATTGTATCATAATGTAACTTTCGATTTCTGCTAACCTTAATGTTAAGCTCTTTTAAGGTAACTATTCTTAGACTAAATGATAAATATGGTGTTTCACAGTTCTAATGGAAGAATAAGAAATAATCTAACATGAACATCTGAATGTCGAAGAACTAAATACAAGCATGTGTTAAGTGCAGCAGCAAAAATACATGACATCAGACATGTATTTCTGCTAACCAAAATGCTCTATGAATCAAGGACAAAATTTTTAACTCACTTTACATATTTTATGAGAATTTATTATGTTTCATGAGCACACTACTGTCTTAGATGCATTAAGTAAAATCAAGAGCCCTCGCTTGAGTGCCCATGGCCACAGTGAAGTTTTTGGCAGGTGACAGTCAAGGAAGAAATAGCAACATAGTGTGGATGGACAGTAATTGCCATTAATTGCCGCTGGATTAACTAGAGGTGTATCCAGATATGGTGGTGGCGGTGGAGGGTGGAATGCATACATGCATTTTGGCAACACAGTATGGTTTACAAACTTGTTACAGTACCTGTTCTATGATGTGAATGGTGAGATGCTGGTCAAAGTCCTGAATGGTGGGCTTGTCTTCCAACTATTGATTATAGATGGGAATGATGGCAACATAAATATCATTATTGCATTTCTGTAAACCGTACTATGGTTTCTGAGAAGGTCATACATGAGACTCATTCATGACCTATTAATTTCATTGTTTGATGGGTGATGTCTTTGGCATTCACAAAAGAGTGTTAGAATACTCTATCTTAACTCTTGGAGTTACAGCACCAAATAAGTCTGACAAGAGTCTAGCAGGATTTGTTATCCACGCTTAAACATCTTTGTGCTATTCAAAAAAAGGCCCCAAATAAATGTAGTTGATAATGTTGTTTATGTTAAAAAGAAGGATTAAGAAACCAAATAGAGAAGTATGAAAGTGATAGGAAACTTGAAAAATAAGTTCTCCCAGCTTTCAGCATTCATGTATCTACCAGCAACAGCAATATTTATGAGATGACTAGATAAGAGAAGAAAAACAAGAAGATTAAAAATATAACTAAGAAAATAACATGAGGTTCATGTTAGCCTAGTTTAATGATATGAGGTTACAAAAAAAGAGCATTAACCTAGAAACTCCTACACAATACTTGGCTGGAAAGAAGATAACAAAACTCATGTTGAGGTAATAGGACAAAGAGGCACCAAAGATAATTTATGGTCCCAAAATCTAGAAAAACAAAGATAATGGACAGGGTTGACAACTGGCACCTTACAGTATAGTATTACCACCATTAGAATTAACTAGACTATTTCTTATGAACTATATTTTGGCATGGCATGACAAGGGTACCGGTATGCATCTTAAAAAACAAACAGATAAAAAGGGAATGATAGTAAGTTATATCACACTGGAAGCTAACTAATGACAAGGTTTTCTGTTCTTTCCAGAAAAAGAATAAAAAACAAAACAGAAGCACTGTTTAGCCAGATTTGCTAACAATTAAAAACTCTGGAAAACTCCACCATCAAATGCTTACAGGAAGGTGGAGCTCATTAGTTCCATTCCACTTCAGAAACCAGAAAGATCAGACACTTGACACACATTGATTTCTCTACTGTGATTTCTTCACAAACCTATCAGAAACCAGAACTCCACACTAATGGCACACGAGTACAATGCACCAGTAATCTAACTTTTATATCTTAGCATTATAATAAAGTAAACCAATGAAAAAAGATTACACAATTGTGTGAAGCAAATCACAGAATCAGTTCCTTAATACTGGCATTTGAACCTTCTAATTCAGCAATCTTGAAATGACCAACAAAGGTATAATGAAGAAAAACACTGAAACATAATAGTTATTGGCCATTTTGTTGGCATATGCAATAAACAACCAGAGCAACAAGTTCAGTATGGCAAGATCACAAGTTCGCATATACAATTATAGATATCCATTTAAAAAAAAAAAGAAAAGAAAACAGGTTTGAATAAAATGAGCTAAACAAGCATCTGAGAAAGGAGAAAAGAGCATACACAATGGCAGAGACTCCACGGCAATATCTCTCCCACATACTGCGAAACCTAGGCTGGCCACCAAGATCCCATAATTTTATAGTAACATTTCCCTTGGTCACCTTCCTCATGTTGAATCCTACCTATAGATCCAGCAAACCAATCAACATTAGTACTGAGAAAATGCTGGTTTATTAAAGTAAACAATCTTTCAATTAAGAGATTACTAACTGTAGGAATCATGTCCTCGCTATATCCACCAGTCTGCCGGAGATAACAAACATAATTAAGCAAATGAATACATTAACGTGCCCTAAGAAACATGAACATGGTAAAATCGTAATCGCGTCAAGAACACATACGGCAACGACGTTCACAAGGGAAGTTTTCCCAGCGTTCTGAAGTCCGATCAAAGACAGCTCCATCTCTTGCTTGAAGAAAAGGCTGTATTTTCAAGAAAATTACACAAACACTATATTAGAAGTACTCTTTTTAATGCTTTGAATCGGAGAAGGAGGCGAAAGGTCATATCACACGCGATTCCACGATCTCCCAACTCACCACCAATGCTTCTCCATATCCTCCATCATAAATGAGATCGCATCAACCATCACAAAACCTCCAACAAAATAAAATACCAAATTTTCAATAAACTAAACCGAATCTTCTCAACCCTAGGACTAATACGTTGCCACTAGCCCATCAATAGCTGTCCGCAGTTACGACTCACCGATTCAGCAACAAGTAGTCCAAGGCTACATGTCACACATCCCAAAAAATATATATCCTAATCTATCACCCCAATATTCATTTCAATAAAATCAAGAAGCACAGCAACAGAAACCAGAAGCGGGGACTTGAGATCAAACCCTGAATCCGACACAATCAATCAACATAGGAGGAAAAGATAAGGATGTCACCTTCGGAGCCAATTGAGGAAAGCTTCCCACACCCCCATGGCTCGCTCCAAGGATCGACGAGGAGATGGAGGGTCGTCACCCAATAAAAGGAGGGAAGAGAAGTGCTTGCTTTGCTTATTTCATCGGACGTGGCCATCGTTTATACGCGATAAGATTAGCAGCAGGTTTTAATAGTGGGTACATTCTGGGTGGTCGCAGTGGGTGGTTCTTCCACGGTGGACAGTGGTGGGACCAAACACGACCGAGTTATTTCTTGACAAGATATTACGCGTGCGTTTAACTGTTATTCCCCAACATTCTTATCTACCCGTCTCAACGACCATCATAACAGCTATAAAACCTGGCCAAAATTAATAAATTAATAAATTAATTAATTAATTAATTAATTATATATATATATATATGATTTGTTTAGCATATTCATCATACATGCCGTTAAAAATTTTAAACTTTAGAATGGTTAATCCTCATTAGTAAACTATTATATGACTATGCTTAAAATATAATTTGACATTATGATCATTAAAAAAAATTAAAATATTTTAATTATTTAAATATCTTTTATAATCTAAATTATTGAATATTAATTTGATTTAATCATGCTTAGTCTAAATTTTTTGGATGGATGTTAATGATGGTGATATATATGATCAATCTTAATATTTGAGAGAAAAATCATTGTTGTCCCACTTAAGCGGATTCAATGAACATGAGTGTTAGGGAAAGTATAATGCACTACCATATATAACATCATTTAATAGTGGTCTAACTTGTTGCGTGAGTATTTGGAATTTGGAATTCGAAATTATAGAATTAGAGGTATTTAAGCCGCATATCTTGAGGGTTTAAAATTATAGAGAATAGCGTAACCATGATTACTGGCCAGTTCCAAAAACAAAGCACGGCCAGTTGACTCCTGAAATATGGCAGCATGATTCGTCGTGGTAGTTGCCGACAGGAAAACAGATTAAGCCCTGATCTGAATACTATGGCGAAATGTGCTCTGACAAATCCCATGTCATTTTGTATCCATACGAACGTTGATGCAATAGGCTATACCTGTCAATTATTATTTTTGAAAACTGATAAAAAAAAAAAAAACCATAAAGGACGGAGGCTGCTATAGAAGGCTGTGGCTCTAACTCCATCCTTGCATCTATGGTTAATTCTATCGTACCATGGCATGCATCCGTAATACTTTTATGAATGAATCGTTCATCGTTTATGTTTATTTATATAACTATTTGATTTTTTTTTTTAAAGTCTTTGTGTGTTTTTTCTTGATTTTTGTTAGTGCAGAAAATAAAATGGCTGCACATGATGATTATCTTAGCACCTTAGAACCTGTAAGTAGCATGGAGCTCTAGTATAATATTAGTATTTATGTTGGATATACATGTTTTTACGCAAAGTAGTGTGTAGGCTTACCAAGCACTTGACACTCCAAGTGTTTATTGAGTTGCATATGTGTAATGTCTTTAAGCGAGATGCTGAGACTTATTTGTTGCTTTTCTAAAAAAAATCTAATTAATTTTTTATTTTGTAGGTCCTTCAAAACCTATATTGATCCTTTATAGATAGATTATCGTAAGTGTGTCTCACTATTTAGATAACTCCGTATAAGTCTATAACATTTATAACATTTGGTATTATAGAAGCAACCAATCCAAGCGAGCAGTAAAGTTTACACAATAAACATTACACTATTTAGATAACTCCGTTACCAGTGCAAAGTTGCTCTCTAACTATATGAGTTGCTCAATGTGATTGTCAAACGATAATCCAAAAGTTGGCAACTATCCTCCTGTGAGGAAGTGCAGTAACCCAAGGTGTCTGTCGGCTTCCAAGAAGTAAAAGAACCATAAAGGCTGGCAATAGTTGAAACTTATCTTTTATGTCCTCAAAGCATATATGGAATAACGCTACTAAGGTCAATAATAGGTATTCACGGTAGAGAACTCATAAGAAGAGTTAAAATCTCGGATCAATCATATGGCATTCCGAGTCTAGCAACCAACAAAAGATACAAAGGAGTACGTACAACTGAAAAATAATGAAATGAAGAAATATTTTTGGTGAAGATATGGTACTCTCAGGAGGCAGAATTTTCCTCAATAGAGCAGTAAGATTTCTTCGTGCAATTGGAAAAATCTTAACTATTATCATGAAAAATCTTAACTATTATCATGTTCATGCTTCTGTCAAGGATGTCGACTTTGGACCCATGCGATGAAAATAATTTATGGGTGAGAGGCTTCATGAGTGAGTCTGTTAGTCGATCAGCCGTATATATGTGAGAAACACGTAGTTGATGTCTAACAGTTTATTCTCACAGGTAAGTAAAATACTGGATTGGCACACAAGTAAGTGGCTCCGATATTATCACAATATATTATAGGAATAGAGGTGGAGTCGATGTTAAGTTCATCAAGTAGATTTGTGACCCAATTGAGTTTTACAGTAGCGATTGCAATGGTACGATATTCATCTTTAGTTGTAGATTATGCAACTGTATTTTGCTTCTTAGAACTCCAACTGAATGGATTAGCTCTAAGGAAAATAATATAACCCGATGTGGATATTTTATCATCAAAGTTCCCTGCCTAATCAGCATCAACAAAGGCATGTAGATAAAGGGGGGAGTGTTTGCAGAAAAAGAGGCCATGATTGAGGGTCCCATTAAGATATCGTAAGATTCATTTAAAGGCAGACTAATATATAGTAGATGGCAGATGCATAAATTGTAATAATTTATTTACTGCAAATGAGATATCTGGACGAGTGAGGGATAAGTACTGTAAGGAGCCAAGTACTTGGCGGTATTGAGTTGGGTCCATAGCAGCGCTTCCATCACATAGTTTGAGTGATTCACCAACACATAAAGGAGTTGTAACCGCTTTTGCATTCTATATGTTTGTCTTTGATAACCATCCTGAATATATTTTCTTTGTGATAGGAAGAGTCCTAAAGATATATATGTTGCTTCCACTCCTAGAAAGTAGCTCAAGGTTCCTAGATCTATGAGGGAGAATCGATCTGCCAAATGCTTGAGGAATATTTTGATCTCTATAGGATTATTGCATGTGACAATAGTATCAGCCACATATACTAGAAGATATATTGTATTGCCACTTTATTGATAGAGAAATAGCGAGGTATTAGACTTGGAGTTGATGAAACTAGTTGATGTCAGAAACGAGTCAAATTCAGTGTACCAGGCTCTTGGAGCTTGATGAAGTCCATAAATAGCTTTTTGTAATTTACAAACATGCCTTAGATATTGAATATGGATGAAGCCAAGAGGTTGCTACATGTAGACATCTTCAATTAGGGTCCCCTATAAAAAAGTATTGTTAATATCGAGTTGTCGTAAGTGCTAGCCTTTAGAGATGGCCAAACTCAGGATAGGTCGGATTGTTATGGGTTTAACAACGGGATTAATGTCTTTGTGAAGTCAACACCAGGACGTTGGTGAAATCCTTTGGCCACTAGACGCGTTTTATATCTGGCAATATATCCATTTGGGTTTCGCTTAATTCGAAAGACCTACTTACACCCAATAATATTTTGTGTGGGATGAAAGGGCACAAAGGTCTATGTAGAATTATGGATGAGGGCATCATATTCTTCACACATGGCTTTACTCCAATTTGGAGATTTTTGGGCTTAAATAATTGTGGTAGGTTCATTGGTCTCTGTCGAGGATTTTGTGATAGTATGTAGGTCAAGGACTTGAGGTGGTTTAAATATACCACTTTTGGAGTGTGTTGTCATTGGATGTCTAGGGGCTATAGGTTCTGTTGTTGGTATGGGCAGTGGAGAGACACTGACTATTGAATCTCATATTTTGATGATGAAACCAATTGATAAGTGTTTATGATTTAATCTATGTTTTGAGTGACGCAAGATGCTTCGATCAGGGAGAGACAATTAAAGCAAGAAAAATCATATTGAGCCGGAGGAAAACATATCAGAAGATTGGACGTCGGGCCGGAGGATCGGTCGATGTATCGATAGAAGGCTTCGGACCATGGATTCAAGCATCCGACCAAGAAGAGCAGATATTTCGCCAAGGATATCGGAGTTGCGGAGTCAACTGGCCGATTTGGCAATAAGCTGCAAGAGAGGACGATGCACCGAAGAATCGAACGAAGCATCGATTGACCAATGACATGCCGGATAACATGATTAATGCTTAGTATTAATTATCTAGATCGAAGTATATTTTTACATGTGTAGGATTAACTACGATAGCAAGGCATAAAGCAAAATGAAGTCCTGGAGTCAAGAACGCGATTTCGTTGGGAGTTCGTGAGTTTGTCGGAAGTCCGGATGTTCGTCGAAAGTTCTGCAGGAACCAGTCGAGAAGTCTCGGAGCTTGCCAGAGAAGCTCGTCGGAACTCACCAAGAAGATTACCATGAAGTCTAGGAGCTTGCCGAGAGTCCGCTGGAACATTACCGAGAGATCGTCGGAAGCTCGCTGGAAGAAACTAGACTTACGAACTTGTTTAACTTAGTAAATGCATTAGATTTCATAGTTAGCACACAATTGGAATTGGATTTGGGCCAACCCAATTAGGAGCCAATTGGGCCCATGTAAGGACTGTGTTGGGCCCAATGAGAGGCCCAAACAATGACCCAAGAGGCAGCACCTTCGTGGCATAGTCTTCAAGACTGTGTCAAGCGGTGGTATCACTAGTCTGGGCAGTGGTACCACCCCTAGTAGGGTGCCAGGCGATGGTACAAACTGATTGGGCAGTGGTACAGCCCAGTGGTAGGGAGCCAGGCGGTGGTACCACCAGATTGGGCGGTGGTACCGCCCAATGCAGTGTTAGTGTCAGACTGACACTAGCGGTGGTACCGCCCAACACAAGCGGTGGTATCGCTCGGACCCCAGGATGAGATATTTTTAGGCTCCAAGTTTGAATCAACTTAAAGCCTATAAATACCCCTCTCATCCCTGGTTAACAAACATAAGCACATAGAGTTTAAAAGTAAAGAAACACAGTAGAAATCTTTTGAGAAATCCCTCCTCTAGCTTAAACTTAGAATTCCTTTTAGAGAGGAGCGTGTGTGCTTGTAAAGGTTGACTTCTAAACCTGTGAAAAGGAGAAGAGGGGTGT